GAGCACAGAAGGGTATCCTTTAGAACAGCCTGACTGCTGCCATTGGTATTGTCAACATTCAGGCTGCCCTTTGCTATGAAAAGCTTGGTATCCTTCTTCCTGCTGGCAACACAGGCATGATACTGTTCAGTACACTAATATCAGGCCATTTATTAGCCTTTTGAACCATGAATACAGAAACACAATATCCCACGTTCGTAATCCAGAGGTTTTTCTAAGAATTGGATTTGATCACAGGAATTTGAAGGTCATACAAGAAGAGAAGGAGATAATTACTCTTACTCATGTCAGGATCACTTATTGTGGGAACATGGAAAACATTGGTGAAGGCAGGAACTATGTTGCATGGGTTGCTTCTACTTAGTTGCTGATTTCTGACCCTATAGGAAAGGTGCCACATCCGCAACGGCATGTGCTGCTGTGGTAGCCCATCAGAGGGGTCCTGAAGTTGAGCATTCTCCTTCACATATAGTCATCAGTTGCTGAGATTTGTAGAATTGAAATTAGGTATCCTAACAATGGAAACTGAACTAATCCAAGTGTTGGGAGATTACGGGTGCAATCAAGTGGCAAGAAAGGTGAGCGTCTGAAAGGTTTGCTTTGACACGAGCAATTTCCCTTAAAGCAACCCTTCCCCCTGTTGGGGAATTGCTCTAGTCCAAAAAGTAGTCTTCTAGATCAAAAAAGTCCAACTTGGACATGGATCGGGTTTGACTAGAGCACCGTTCCCCATATATGGTGATTGCTTGGAGATAGCTCACACCAGACCATGTCACAAGTGGTCCAAAATGCTAACGACATGGCCTTGTGGTTCATCATCCCAGCGCTATTCTGCTTTGCTAACTCCTGTGACACTCTTGTCAGGTGACAATAACTGCCTCTTAGCCTGTCTGGGATTAAGACTAAATTGTTAAAAGTTCATTTGACCTTCTGCCTAGTAAATCCCTTAGTGAGTTTAAAAGTGCATTAGAGGATGAGAAACAGAAGAGTCAGAAGTATGGATGGTATACATAATGCCTTAAATTCCATGGTATCTGCGTTTTTGGCTGGTATATTATGTTGCAAACACAAAACCAATATGGCGACAATGTTCACACTGCTTTTATTGAAGGTTCATTTGGCAAAGAAATAATACATTCCATACGGGGTTTGACAAGCATTTTTGACTCCTCTACTTATATGGCAAGTCTTATTATATATCTGATGTCTTTGTCCCCACTTCCTCCTCTACTTCCTGTCTCTTTCAAGAACATCAGGATCAGAGGATGAAAACAGAAGGGGATAATCTGGACAGTTGTGAGGCAAGCATTTGATTCAAAAGCTGCTGCTTCTTTTGTTAGTGGTGCTCCAAACTATTTTTCCAAAAATGAAAACATGCATATCTTATGGACTGAATAGGGAGCTCCCCACTTCCATACAGAGCCACACAATTTGTTGCTGTTTATGTGTTGGGTTTGTATCCAGCTGTTCTCCCCAAACTGGGACTCAAGGCATCTTAGAAGATTAACTTTGGAAGGTCTAGAGAAAAGCCCCAAATGTTATCATATTAAAACACAGTGAAACTATAATATCAAAATATTATTGAATTAAAAGCAGAGCAATAGGGAAAGTAGGGCACCCACTTAAAAAGCTCCTTCCTCAGTGATCCTGTCAATTACACAATACCACTCTAAATTACAAGGATTTTGCTTCCCAGTGAAAGGATGGTTGATGGATGACCTTCCGTTGCCCTGTAATATGAGAGGGAATGCTTCCCACACTTCCATTTTCAGCAGCTGGTTTTCCATTTTTTAATAGTCTATATCATAACATTAATAACAACCTAAAGAATGAATGCCATTCATATCTCCGTGAACAACTGGAACCAATACAATATACAATTAATGGAAAACAAAAGTTATAATTGAACTTTTTTTCAGGTAGCCATCATCAATAGGAATCGTGTAGTTAGGTGCACCTGTCTTTGGGTATTGTGGATTTTTTTAGAGCTATCCTCCATGGTATGCCACTGAGTGGTCGTATAATAGCAGGTTTGAAAGTGCTCTGGGAAAGAAATAATTTCTAAGTAAAGCTGTAAACCATGTATTTAAAGATGACACTAAACTATGTCATGCAGTCTAGTGATTGTTTTTTTAACCAGATATTTTGGTTCATCCACTTTTAGCCATTGGCAAAAAAAATACCTTTCCAGATGTTTATATAGCTTGGGAAACATGACATACTGGCTGGAATCCTGTTCATGAAGCTCTACTTCTGTAAGGTTGATGATGTCATAAGCTGTGGCCTTTTATCTTTAATTATAATTTTCCTATCACTGTCTCCCTCTAGGCTCTGAGGCTTTCTAGCGATCCCTTTTGAGATGGGAAGGACTTTGGGGGGCCTCAGGATGAGGAAGCTTTTAATGTCCAAAACCCACTGCTGCTTGTTCCACCCCCAGGGAGCTTCAGAACCTGGGGGAGGGCAGGGAAACTTAAAGTCTGCAGCTGATAACATCATCAGTGTAATGCATATGGAGCTGTGCCAACAGGATTCTGGGCACTGTGTTTAGTTCCGTTTACTAGCTGTAAAAAGAACATTTCAAACTAGTAGTGAGTACAAGAGAGGATACCGTGAACTATCTTGACTGCTGACACTGGTATTATCAACGTTCAGACTAGCCTTTGTTATGGAAAGCTTGGCATCTTTTTTCCTGCTGACAAAGCAGGTCTGATATTACAGATTCTTTCCTAGCATTTTTAATTGTGGAAATAGAGAAAGTAGTCCATATTCATAAAGCAGAAGGTTTCTTTCACCCTAAAAATGTAAGATGATTCTACCATGCATGAAACTGATTTACAAAAGATGAATAGTTTTTCTGCTGTTCAAAACTCTGAATGAGTTTGTGATGTCTTGCTCAGAAGATCACTACCTTCTCTTGTATCTGAATGCTTTAAAAACATTCTGGAAGACTCTTCAGCTCCATTTATTTGAATTCATGGTGCTGAAATATGCTAAGGGCTTGGAAAATGTTTCATGTTAGCTATACCTGGCAAGAGATGAAGGATAATTGTTAGACATTTTTGTGGGTAGATGTTTATATTCATATTTGCCTCCAAAGCTGCTTCACATTTGTGTATGTACACACATGACCCAAAGGTTTTTGCTTAAACTGCATGAGGAAGAATGAGAAATGCCGTGGAAATCGTAGCCTTTTTCTGAGAAGATCAGTCAGTTTTTCCTCTCTCCTTTTCAAGAGGAAGAAATGCCTGTGATTGTGGTCTTCAAATGAATTCAGCCTAAGTCTGTTTGTTTTGAGTCCCTCGCTTGGAGGAGAGAATAAAATCTACCACTGGGACTTAACTTTCTGAGTACATGCAGTTAACCCAAACAACAGAGCTAAACTCTGCTGGGGAAATACATATGTTACTGAGACAGATCATAGAACCGGCCCTTGTAGCATGCTTACAAGTAGTGTCACGTCTCCATGGGCGTTGGTGTTTGGACTGCTAAGTCTTTTTTTCCAGCAGAGACTCTTTGCTACATATAAGAAATAGGAATATGAGAGCTGATCAGTTAAGAGGGGAAAATAGCATGACTGGACCAGCAATTGCCTGTAATGTGCTTAGGAGTTAAGCAGTGCTATGATAAATTAGGCTGAAATCTCCAAGAATTATAACTGTGTGCCAATCAATGGCCAAAATGCCATAGTTCAAGCAAATATTAGAGTAACGGCAGAGAGAGAGAGAGCGAGAGAGAGAGAGAGCTCAGTACTTCCACTACTGCCATTATAATCAGTCTTAGCCTTTTTCAATCTCAGTTTATCATTCTGGGATTATGGATGGATGGGGATTCTTATGGGGTTGATAATATAGTATTGACTGTCCCAAATTATGAGGATTACATGGAGACATTTTATATGAACTGTGTGGGAATAACAATAAAAAGTGTTGTATAAAGGTTAGATGCTATTTATTTTCCCTTTTATTTCATCTTCATCTCCAACCGCTCTTTAAAACCTAAATTAGTACATCTGAAAATCTTGGCAGAAAATGGAGGTGGTAGCAGAAGAGACAATGTAGTTGTCTCAGACAATGTAGTTGCTGACCTTGAGCCCAGGTGGTAGCAGAAGAGGAAAGCAACATATGGCTGAAATTTAGGACTGGGTAGCAAGTGGCAAGGGACGACCAGGAAGTGAAAGGCTTATGTTTCCCCCCCCAACCCTTTCCAGTTTAGAGCAAAACTGTCTGAAATGTTTAGTGGCGACTATTGAAGGCCCATTTTTTCCTGTTTTAAAAAGTCAAAGACATTCATTTTTAAGAGTTATTTCACATAACATTAAACTGCTTATGGCTGTTTTAAATTTTAACATTTCGATTCTGTTTTTCTTAGTTCAGTCTTGATCTTGGCTTCCATTTAGGTGTTCTTTTGTGGAAAAGAAATGTCTAGAATAATTTATACTGCAGTTGCACATTTTTAATCTTTTTATTCTGACTTGCTTACTTCAATAATTGTGTGCCGTCAAGTCAATTCTTTTCAGGTAGAGAATACACAGAAATGGTGGACCCTTCCCTTCTTCTGGTGGGTGCCCTGGGACTATGCAGATGGCCCATGGTCACCCAGGTTGGCTTTCCTTGCAGGAGGCACCGTGGGGAATGGAAGTCCCAACCTGTGGCTCAGCAGCCAGTGGTCACCCAGGCTGGCTTTACTTGCAGGAGGCACCATGGGGAAGGGAAGTCCCAACCTGTGGCTCAGCAGCCAGATATTTAAACTACTGAGCTATCCAGCCAGTGTTTGTATACATGTGTAATAGAGTTAATTTTCTTTAGTCTCCATTTTAATCTCCATTTTATTGGTGTTATATTGTGGTTTATTATGATGATCTGTGGCTAAATACATTCACGCACATGGCTTTGACTGTATGTTATTGGATCCTTTGTGGTGATTCCTTTCCTCCGCTGCACAATGAAAACTGTTCTCAGTACCTAGTTGTGATAGACCTCATGTTTCTTTTTCTCTTTCAGGGAGCTACTTTGCCAGTCACTTCATCATGGGAGGTGAGAAGTTTGATTCTACACACCCAGAGGGCTACCTCTTTGGAGAGAACAGTGACCTCAACTTCCTTGGAAGCAGACCTGTAGCGGTAGGAAGGAAATTTTGTAACAAAATCATATTAGTTGTAGAGAGTGCAGTAGAGCAGAGCTGACCACTCCTGGTTTGGCATTTGTCATATATTTATTCCTCTTTTTGTTTGATGCTCAATGTGCAGCCAGATTGCCAAATATGACTAACATCAGGCTTGATGGAATAAATGTTTTCTAGTGGGCTGTTATTGGAATCCTGGGATAACAGAGATAAAATGCAATACCTTAGGAGCCCTTCATTGCTCTTAACTCTCACTGAGAATGCCCATTGCTAGCCTGGTGGAAGCAGAGATTCTAAGATGGGTGCTATTCTGGAATGATACAAATTAGCAACTGCTGGTGATTTGGGATGACCTGTGTAATCCAGCAATTCCTTGGGGTGAAAAAAAGAGACAGTGATAAGTGTGTAGGAAAGGAGCAAGGGCTCCTTAGCCACCCATATCCTTTAAAGGTGTTCCTACAAGCAGAAGGTTGGCATGGTTTATAAATTGTTCCTGTATTATGGAATGGGCAGAGTTGCAGAGTTGTACATACTTGTTTGCTGTTCATCTCTATAAAATAAAGAATGGTGTACTTCACTATAGTAGACAGAGAGTGTTCATACTTAAAAATAAATTATTGTGAAATAGAATGAGACAGCTATTTCATGTCAGAATCTATATTACCTCTTATATGTGTTTATGTTTGTACAGTGCAACAAATTCCACCTGGCTGATGCAACTGTGTATTTTTATTTATATGCCACACTAAGTGCTTTTTACAAATGGTTGATGATAATCAAGAAGTGCCATTGTTTGCGCCCTCTACTCTTCTGTGGACTCACAGGTGTAATTCAGTGCCACAATTTAGATAACTTGTTGGTTTATAGTAGCAGTGCTCTAATGTCAGCCATCATCACCTGGGGACTGCAAAAGCATCCCCCTTGAATTTGTGTGAAAGCCTCAGATCTCTTTCAGAGTATTGTTGGGCAGTCCTCACTTGGGAACATGATTTAAAAGAATCTGAGGACAGGACATTTTCTTAGGCAGGTCTGGTACAGGGCAGCGTGGCTATGCCTGTTCAATGACATCTACCTATTGCTGGGTCTAAGTGGATAACGGGCAGCATCCATCCCACCATTTATAGGAGAAGCCTGACCTTTTGATGCAATGTGCTCTGGACACGTTTCTGCTTCTTCCCGCTTCCCTTCCCTTCCCTTCCCTTCCGTTCCTTCCTTTGCTAGATCTGTATGTCTGGGTTTGTTTATTTAAAGAGAAGCCACAGAGTATCTGTGATTCCATCTTTCAAGCTGGAGCTTGCTTCTATAGCCTGTCAGCTCAGCAGAGCATTAAATGTCAAGACATTACTGCAGACCTTCAGGACTTAACAAGATGTTAATTATGGGCAGAGAGGTTTTTCTCTTCCTTCCTTGATGCATTCAGAGCATTGTCCTTCTGCGGAATGAGGGGGTGGGATGTAAGCTCCTGCAGGGTCCTGAAATCTGCTCCGCAAGAGGGATGGGAGGAGCCAGCTGCCTTTTCAGTTCAGTAATACAGTTAAGAAATTAAAAATAATTTCATGCCTGTGGTCCAAGGAGAAAGACATAACAGTGACATTACACAGTCAGACAAGCAGTTCACCAAGTTCACTTTCACCTCTGTATCAGCACTGGGGGAGACTTGATGCAAGAGAGATATTCAGTGGTGTGTGGGACCAGTGTTGCTCATCTCCACCTTCTGGGGAGTAAAGATTTTTAAGGTGAAATTTATAAAAATGCGTTCCTATCCTAGAGGAAACATACGTAATCTTGGAGTAAGGGGCCCAAAGCCATTTGGATGCACAGAATTGCTTAAAGAGCACGTCCTTAGTTGTCTTTCGCTTCCAGTTTACGAGATGAGTTCGCCCAGTTCAAGAAATTACCAAAGAGGTGGTTTTCTTAGTCTGTGTCAGCAAATATAACAAAAACAAAACAAAACAAAACACCTCAAAAACATTGTCTTTGAGACAAACAGATTTATTTTTAGCACGAGCTTTTGTGGACTACAATGTCTTTCTTCAGACATGTAGAAAGCAACATACAGATAATATATATTTTTTATCAGCACAGGCTTACATAACCAACATTTCAGATTAGATAAAATCCTTTTAATGTTATGTTATGATAATGTTACGTCAAGCCAGTTTCTACAGTACAATAACATGGTGACCTTGGTAAAGTTTTCAAGGTATGTGAGATGTTTCACAAGTGACTTTACCAATAGCATCCCCCACTAAGTTTCTGTTTCTAAGCAGAAGTCTAAAGCCAGGTCTCCCAGGATAGTCCAACACTTTATCCACTATATATCACACTGGCACATAAAGATCCTAGCAATAATTTAGTATTTAGCGAACACTAAACATCAGGCTTTTAAAGCAATGGATTCCATTCTCTAGATATTTACTGTATTTTTCTCTTTATAAGATGCCATGATATATAAGATGACTCCCACTTTTCTGACCCCAAATTAGAAAATTTGCTCACTGCTTTCCCCACCACTTCCTAAGCCCAGGGCTTAGCAAAAGGAGGGGGAAAGCAGGGATCTAAGGGCTGCAGGATCCCTTTAATCGCTGCTTTCCCCAGCAGTTCCTAAGCCTCACGGGACTTAACAAAAGGAGGGGGAAAACAGCAGGATTGCTTTGATTCATTCCTCCCTCCACTTGTTTTTGTTCTCTCCTCAGCTTACTTCCGTGTATAAGACGAACCCCAATTTTTAGTCTACAGATTTTAGACAAAAGTATTGTCTTCTACACGGAAAAATATAATAATTGCGTTTGTTGAAGCCAAAGTTTTTCTGAAAAAGATAAGTTTGTGTGTGTGTGTGTGTGTG